TTCACAGGTATGATATGCCAAGCCAACTCTGTCTTCGCAATTGCTACTGTTATTTAAGACAACCTTTACATATTCTCACTTCAGCTGCTAGGTATATAGTAGCAGTCAGTATTCAACAGTTTCTATAACAATAATCATGAAACAACACGAATAACAACGAATAATCCAAGGCAACTACATTGTTTTTAGTTGTTAAAATTGACGTAACACTTTGCCTTATCTAACAAGTATCTTTAGCCTACTCTTTCAAAGGAAATGACACCTAAAGGTCAGGCATCCAGCTGAGCTTCCGATATTACCACTGATAATGAAGAACAAGATATGATTACCACCGATGCTAATGCTTCCATTATTCTTCATAATTCATGATTACCTCACGTTCTCTTATATTGTTACCTGTTACCAACACTTGCACTTTAAACAAATCAAATTTGACTGGTTGCTAGTTACTGGATAACTTTAAAATATATTAGGAGATGATTTTTTACATCACAAGCGGATATACCTGTTGAAAATGAATCACCCCCTCGAGAAGGATTCTATTCTCGAACGTGCAAGATATAATGTTTAAAAATAAAAATGCTCAAACATATCAGATCATTTGTATTCAAATTTCATCTCATTACTGTTTATACAACCAGTATTAATGTCTTTGTTTTGTTGTTCCAATCAGTATCACTTTGGAATTTTATAGACTAGGTTCATTGAAAGCTGACATTTATACCCATTTCGCGTTAATCTAGACGTCATTAACTTGCAGCAAGGTTATGCAACATCTTTTCAATCTAAAAGTCGCGACGTGTCGATGATTTTCATCCCTTCAATCGCTAATGTATGTCAATTTGCCCGGGAAAGCGGTTAAACTGGCTGACAGCTTCTATGAACCACATCATAAAGTAAAACTTATTAATTGCACAATACTGGAGCGCAAAAAGGTTTTGATTCCAGTTGAGGGGGTTGTCCCTTGTTAGAAAAGAGCTAAGGTTAAGGACCTAGACTAAATGCGGCATTCACAAATTGCTCGACAGAAGTAACTGTACAAAGTTTTTTGCCCCGTCTCTTCAATAACTGTCACTTTTTAATGACGAAATGGCCAATTTAATTTTACTCGAAATAAACATGACGGTGAAAAAGGCGCTAGCTGCTGACTGCACACGCTTATTATACATAGTGTTCTAACGGTAATTTATTTTTATCACTCTCTATGAATTCGTGAGCTTGAATAGCAGACTTTAGGTAGACACCTGTGTTCTGTGGGAATTTCGGAAACCATCATAAAACTTTAGTTGGCAATATACAGGGTGTTTCAGTTTATTGTTGCAACTATAAGATTCGATAGAACTTTTAAAATTAATGCATAAAACATGGGTCGAAAAATGCATGGCTTCCGAAATACAGGGTGTTTAAATTTACTTTCTGAAATAGTTTTTTCTTAAATATTTCCAACAATATTTGATGTATAACAGTGAACATTTGTATACAAGGGTTTTTTGGTACGACAAAACGAACCATGGGCATAGTTTTACTGTAGCCGCTAGGGGGCTCTCTCTACTGTACCTGTTGTGTACTAAAATGACCGAAAAATTTTTCTTAGTACAATTTTTTGCTTTTTGAATAAAAAAAACTGATTCTTTGCACTTTTCAACATAAAAAAGCTCTCCTGTGAGTTTTCGTTATAGTTAGCCGTTTTTGAGATATTTCGATTTTTAATGTTCGATGCATTTTTAATTATTTATGGGAAAATATTATTTTTTTTTACATTTTCGATTTTGGCATTACAAGATGATAGTTTAGATTGTGTTTTTAAACACAGCAATAATTCCTAACTCCAAATAAACACAAAAAAACAGAATATTAATTTGTTTAATTTTCCAATATTATTTTTAACAAATTAAATTAATTATTTACAACTAAAATGCCATTGGATAGTTAGGACAAACATACAAAATCTAAAGTAGTTGCTCGAAATGTGAACACAATTGTTCAATACAAAATTCACATCTACGAATGATCGAACGTGGTATAGCATTATTCAAATAAGGCCTTATTTCATCACATGCATTCCTGATTCTGTCTATTAGCATACCTCTTGTGGTTACGGGAGTCTGGTACAGTTTTTCTTTTAGAAATCCCCACACAAAGAAATCTAATGGATTTAGGTCAGGGGATCGTGGAGGCCAGGCGACTGGTCCTCCACGGCCGATCCATCTTTCTGGATAATTTTCGTCCAGACAGTTTCTAACTATTCTCGAATAATGAGCTGGACAACCATCAAGCTGGAACAAGGCTAAATTCATGCTGAAAATTTCTTTCCCGAACTGCATGCGGATTTTCATGCGACCAAATATGTTGATTATGAAAATTTACCACTCCACGTCTAGTGAAGCATGACTCATCGGTCCATAAAACGTTACTTAAAAACTCCCTATTATTATCAGTTCTCTCAAGAATCCACTGACAAAATGTGATTCTTCGTTCTCCGTCCCCTGGCTGTAGTCCTTGCACAGGTTGCAAATGGTAAGGACGTCTATGGTTTTCTGGCTGCTTCTGCTGCGTTTCCATTTACAAAGCCATACACAAAATGAATATCCGCTAACTCTTGATTGGAGAATAAAAATGGCATTTTTATAAAACTTACAAAAAAAAAGAGGTAAGAGAAACTAAATTTCGTGCATTCACAATTGCAAAAAAACGTTTCAGGTTTCAACCGACAACAAAACCAACTATCAACTAACTGACGTTTAACCTTATTCTGCTTTCAATTTCAAAAATATTTGTAGGCTCAGCCTACTTCTAAAAATTATCAAGATACTGACTTTTTAACGTTATTTTATCATAAATAATTAAAAATGCATCGAAGCTTAAAAATCGAAATATCTCAAAAACGACTAACTATAACGAAAATTCACAAGAGAGCTTTTTTATGTTGAAAAGTGCGAAGAATCAGTTTTTTTATTCGGAAAGCAAAAAATTGCACTAAGAAAAATTTTTCGGTCATTTTAATACACTACAGGTACAGTAGAGAACGCCCTCTAGCGGGTACAGTAAAATTATGCCCATGGTTCGTTTTGTCGTACCAAAAAACCTTTGTATACCAATTTTCACTGTTATACATCAAATATTGTTCGAAATATTTAAAAAAAACTATTTTAGAAAGTAGATTTAAACACCCTGTATTTCGGAAGCCACGCATTTTTCGACCCATGTTTATATAGACTTTAGGCATTAATTTTAAAAGTTCTATCGAATCTTAAAGTTATGCAACAATAAACTAAAACACCCTGTATATTCATATAAGTTTTTAATTAGTCTTGCAAGTATACAGGATGATAGCGATCATGAAAGATAACAAATACTAGTTCTGAAATGACCGCTTTTCTTTTGCCTAAAGCAAAGATTTTACTGAATAAACATGCCATATGCCCCTACGTAGCTTATAAAAATGAAAACCATCCACCGTCATAAATCCACCGATGGCACGTTTCTGGTGAAACATTTCCTGCTGTTTCTTCATTCCACTTTGCTGTTATGTCCTTTCCAGTATCTCGACGACCAGCTCTACAAATACGAAAACTAGATCTTTGCATTCTAGGGCTGATCCTACGTGGCGTACCAACACCGTGTCTTGAAACTTGAGTTGAACCAGTGTCTCGATACTTTTTTACAATATCTGGCACCGCAGACTTTGTGACATTTATTTGTTTAGCAATGTCCCGAAAGCTTGTTCCTCGATGCAACAATTTTATGATTAAAACTCTGCACCATTTGTTGGCTTACGACGTGGCATTTTTAAGCCAATTTATTCACAGAATTGATTCTTCTAAACTCCTTTTTGTTTCCATGTCCCGCTCTTATAATCTTTTCAATATCGTGTCCGAACATTTATGTGTCCTCAAAATGTTACTTGAAAACAGTTTTGTTAGTATGTTGTGCAAGCAATATGTTTCATTGTTTTATAAAAGAAAAACAAAGAATTTTCAACCTTACAAAAATAAACAAACTTTTAGATGAAATTAGATATTGTCTGAACATTTTTGTTTTATGGCTTGCACCATCAGGGTAAATCGACCATACATTGGCGGTAATCCCGGTTGAGAAAAGGGATTAAACAAAGATCGCATCATTTCTGAGACTGATCCGTTCATGTTTGTAACAAAATCGACTACTAGCAGCTGCCATACAACGCCAGCACCGGCACGTTCACCAGCCAGACGGCAAGCAAAATGAAATCAAGCACAGCCCGTGCCTCTTACTCGACCAGAATCGAGGACAATGTCAGAACACCGCGCGCGACAGGCGCAATTGACTGGTGTCCGTCCAGCAACGACAGCGTTTGCAACATTTTCAACGTAATCACTTTCTCTAGAGCGGGGGCGCCCCAGTACCAGCTGAACATATGGTTGCATTTTCGGTACAATTACCGGTGCATTGGGCGAAAATTAGATCACAAATGCACTTAGCCGATTTGTTTTGTACGAAATGTCGAGGATGGGGCTATTTTGGCCTCAAAAAGATGGTTCAAAGCGGATTTTCAAGGAATCTGGCCAACTGACGTGTGTCGGATTCAATAGGATGTGCGACTTGTGTAGGTGGCGTGAAGAAATTATTTTGGGTGACGAATTGGTTGTGAAATCTGCAATTTGCATGATCGTCACGAGTTTTTTCTTTCTTTGAAACGTAACCTAATAAACATGTTTAGTGATTTTAAAACTATCCGGCTGATCTGCATCTACAAAGCCTGAATGATGCTTCATAATAATCACTTGGGTTATATGACACACTATGTCTTTATTTTCAAAGTACATTCAAACTAAAAGGTGGCAACCAAGATTCAATAAACTAGCTGATTCCTTACTTCCCAGCTAGAAATAATCTTGCAAGTATATATTTTCATTAACCAAAGGACACAATAATGTATATGGCAAACCATATATACGAGGGATGTCCTTTAAGTTTTGCATATGGAAATAAAGCAACACGGTAGGTAGTTTTAAATGACGTTATTGTTTTTGGAAGTATTCTTCAAGAAGATGAATACAAATCAGCATGCGCTCGAACCAATTTTCGAAGCACTTATTCCACTCGTTTGCTGGCAGATCCAAAACGACATTTTTGAATGCGTCAACTGTTTCTTCTGGTGACTGGAGCCTTTGGCCACGCTGTCTGTTTTTAATTTTAGAGAAAGTAAAGAAATCGTTAGGACTTAGATCGGGACTATATGGAGGATGGTCCAATGATTCCACGTTTTCTTCCGTTAGATACTTCCTTGTTTTTTGGGCTGTGTGCCAGCTTGCATTGTCTTGGTGGAGGATGATTCTACTTTCGGGGTTGATTTTTCGAAGCTCGGTGATGACTTTTGGCAAACAAATGGCGGTATACCAATCCGCAGTAACAGTTCTTTTGACACAAATGTCGCGACCATATTTTTCGAAACACTTCGAGAACGGTTGACTTTTGTTTGCTTTTCTTCACCTTGGAATATATAATATATGCAAAACTCAAAAGACATCCCTCGTAAAGTATAGTACAAACAAGAACTAAAAACAGATAGCAAACATACTTACTTTGCTAAATCACCTAGAGTTCGGCATCCAATTATTCATTTATTCAATAGAAACAGTTGGTCTGCAAAAATAATTCCACACAGTTCTTGAATATATTACATTGTCCTATTTTCCTTAGGTAATAGGTAATTTATCCAATAAGATCACACAATTATAATATGGTGACTGCTTAAAATGTGATGTAGTGTGATTTTGAATTGTTAGACGATGTGATACCTTGAAGTTGTGAAAATGTTCTGGTGTGGATTAACGTAGGTTACACATTTAAAAATCTAGATACAAAGATGGAATATACTTGAAAACATGTCATCGACTTTTCCGCAAAATTGGTTAAGTCATGGAGCTAACGTAAGGAGGCTGTTAAAAGGTTAAGTTTAAAAAAAATGAATTCTCGAATTTAAGGTAGGTACCGCCAGCATTTGGGATGTTTTGCAAAGCTATAGTGTTGAGAAAATTATCTTCACTATGGACACTTTATCCGCCTATTATCTTTTTGTACAGGTCTCGCTGAATATGCTGTAAAATTTTCGGCAACAGGCAACATTGTAGATTAGCCGATTCCTATACCTACATTAACTGGACTATGAGTATAGCGGCATAGCATTTTGGAACATATCCTATTAATCTGATTGAAAAGTAAGACACGACAACTTCAGAAAAATAGTACAATCTCAAAAGTAGCGATTTTCCACAAATTCTTAAAAATGGCGATAAGCCAAAAACCGTGCCCCCCTATCACCCCTTTTTATTTGCATGGTAGACTTTTGTCTGTATATCCAAAATTAACTACTAGTAGATTTGAAACAGCTTTTATGTTTTCAACATTTCACTGTCGTTACCTTTGCATTTAATTCGCAATGACCTTCACCAACGAAAAAGCCAATCAGACTGCAACGATTTTCGTAATCGTGACAAATCGTCACTCTCACCGAACAACCGACCACAGAAGACGAAACTTCATCATCATTGTCGCGGTTGGCTGTGATTTCTAGGTCAGGACTTCTCATTACCATTTTTATTGTTTTCCTAAACAATTGACAACTTCCTCGAACATCTGAATGTCGGTTTCTCCGTATAGACGGGCGTGTACAGGATTGCGTAACATGCAGCAATTGAAATTGTCTAAGCAAGCTTTCTGCTGCTACGAGAAAGGATTGACTGGCTATCGTGATTATACTCCTCTTGTAGAAATAATTATAATTGCAAGGCGAGCGCTTTCAATTTTTTATATGATGCAGAGTTTGGATCTATTTGATTAACCTAGAGAAATTACATTTTGCAATACCTGGATGGCTAAAAACTTATTTTTACAAGAAGCTTTCAGAAAATAAATTTCGTTATAAGAGTATGGACACCAGAAATTTTTTTTATACAGGAGTTGCCTAAAGCAAATATAATTAACAAAGTTCACTAGATGTTAACTTGTTCCGTTTAACACATATATTCAATTGGTTCGATAGTAAACCGTTGACCATAAATACTAGTAAAACGTTCTTTATGTCATTATTACACATCAAATTACAGTAAAGGTTTAATCCAAGATTCTCTTAGAGCATAACAGTTGGACAAGGCTTATCAATTAAATACCTTGGGACCTTCACAGTTCCCCATCTACAGTGGGATATTCACATACAATTTGTCATAAAAAGATTAAGATATCTAGCCTCATAAACTCAACATTATTAGTAATACAGGGTGGCGCATCGACAACGAAACAGACGCATTTATTGGCAGCTCAGTTTTTTTTTGGAAAAAACGCCCAGACCCGTCGACTTTGTTTTCGAGGGGGACACAAATATGGCAAAAAATCACGTTACCACGAGCAGCCCCCTAAGCGGGGGTGACACCACCCCCAGAATCTTGGGGGTCACCCTGTATACTATATAAAAAAATATCTCATAGGCTATGACAATGTGGGATGAAGCCCAATATTTATATATTTTACAATTACATCGAATAAAAAAAGATCCTCAATAAGATATAACATAATCTCATAACGTACATAATAGCTCAGCTATTCAACATTACAATATTTTTGGATTAACAGCAATTGTATTTTTACAAATTTAGAACATAATTATGATACATGAAGCAATCTATCCAAAATTATAGTTCCAAAACCAAATAAAAGTATTTTTACCAGCCTCTTATGTCCAAAATGTTACACTAATTGGCCTATAGACATAAGAAAACATCAAACATTCAGTGTGTCTAAAAGAAAATTGGGAGTTACTTATAGTAAATAAAAAAGTTATTTACGCCTAAAAAATCACATGTTTAAATATTACTCTAACACATACATTCCTTCTCTACCATTTAGGCCTATAGAAAAGTATATAAAATTATTTTTTCAAATTAACTTCCTGTTACATCTAACTGGTATTCCACAAGGGTAACTTTGTTATTTTTTTATGCCACCTCAAGGCCTTGCTTTTTGTGGCTTACATTTATTCATCTCATATTACATCTTTTATATAAAAATAAATGAACATTTGAAATTTGATAAAATAATTAAATATAATAGAACAAATCCGGTTAATATTTGATTGGGCCTCGTATAGAGCGACTCATACTTTTCCCGAAATAATTTTAAACTCTGGTTTTATTTGTGCAAGTTATTAATGGGGGCAATGCGACGATTATTTCACGCAACTACTTGAAATTCCTCAAATCCATAGGATTCATACTCCTAAATAACAACAAAATTAGAGAATTGAGAATTTCTAATTATTTGTCCCAAAACACCTGTTTTCCGGCCATCACTACCAGTTTATTGAGCAATATACAAGGTTAATTCAACGAATATTTTATAGCAAAATACACTACTTTACCTTGCCGATATGAATCGAAAATCTTTTTGGAAGATAAATATTATTTTTATGTGAAAAACCTGCAGTTTGCCTCGATTTTCGGCCATAACTTTTCTGCTATTAGTCGGATGTTTTTACGCGTGGTCCTTAAAATATTGTATAGAGAGTTTTTTTGTTCCTGCCAAAACTTTCGATTGAATGCCAAAAAACTGGTTTTTTCATTTTTTGTTGTGGAATAAAAAGTTTTCCCACAAAAAATTGTGTACCCATTTTATGCGACCATATTGAACAACTTGCAGAAACAAAATCAGACTTTACAATTATTTCGCAAACCAGGGGTATTTTCGTCTAATAGGGTTAGACTATAAAAGACTGTGTATCGTATATCTAGAATTACGCTAGACCTTTTAATAGACAATTTTCGCTACGACTCACCTTAAAATAAGTACCCGGTGTAACTAGTTAGCAATTAAAAATAACCTATGTTCGCATGTGGGTATGGAAACCTTCACGGACAAGCGATTCATGAATATGTAACTGTTACCGGCAACATAATAAGTAGTTTTGACTAAGCAAGAGTGTATGCTTCGCCGAAATTGGTCCTTCGACCGCTATTTCATGTTATGTCTAGCATGGAGCGTGGGAGTGCTGTTGAGACCACACGATAGATGGATGGTCGCTTGTCAGTTATAGATTGTCATTCATTCACTGCTCATCCTTTGTCTTCTATTCGCGTTCCACTTTTTCCTGTTCAGATGACTCAGGTCATCAGCCACAGCAGGAATTGTAATGCAATACCCAAATTCAGACATCAGACAGATAGATACTTTCCCTAAGTGGGTGTTAAATAGTTAATATTTGTTCTAAAACGATGACTACGAGCCCCGTCCCACTTCAATTGGCCCATTTCAAGATTTGTACCAAAATATGCCTTTATAAACTAAACATGACGAAACTATTTATTTCTAAAAGAATTTATTTTCTCAAAATCATTTTAGATACACTCTAGTCGTAAAAAATACATATTTGAAATCATTTAGACCTATAATAGAACATCTGAACAAATAAACAATGTGCGAATAAATGCCCGAAGTTAACAAAGCAACAATTGAAATATTACCATTGGGTAACATTACCTTTATTTTTTATTATGGCTTAAATTCTTTGGGGCATAGTGTTGACCAAGCTTTGGCAAAACTTTGGTGTAAAACAATACCATATTTCTTGAAGCTTTTGTCTCAGTTCGGTGATTGTACGAGCAGGATGTTGTCGTAGAACCTTTTTCATCTCGTGCCACAAAGTTTCAATAGGTGACAGATCTGCACTGATAGAAACCCATTTCAAAAGTGGTACATTATTTTCTTCCATCCATTTTATAGCCTTTTTTGAGGAATGGCACGCTGCACCATCTTGCTGAAACATAAAATCTTGACCGGATGTCAGACATTCTTTCATCACTGGGAAAAGCGATTCTGCTAAAATTGCCAAATATTTGTTTTGTATCCACATCTCCATCAATAAAATGAAGTTTTCCTACTCCTTTTGATGACATACTGCCCCAGACCATAATGGATGCTGGAAATTTAACTTTTCTCTTCAGACACTCAACATGGAATGATTTATTTTTTTTTGCGAATAACTCTACTGCGACTGTCACCAACACAAACTTCGAATCGGGCCTCATCACTCCATTGTATTGCCATTGTTGAGGTGTCCATTGTCTATGTTCTTTAACCCATCTAAGCCGATTTTTCTTTTGCAGTGGAGTTAATAGTGGCTTTTCTTTGGCCTATAGACAAGTTCTGCAACTTTAGGGTTTTTACTTCACTTTTTTTTATAGGAAAACTCACCTTGTAAGTGCTAAATCCCAGTGTGTGGGCCTCTCTATGAGTTGTGGACCTCGAAATTCTCCTTCCAACAGCGTCACTCTACAGAGCACTTATCTGTAAATAATTGGCACGCCTGTTTTCCACGATTATTCTTCTTAATGCTCTTCGGTCGGCATTTCTGGTGACTTTTTTTTCACATATCGTGGCTTAATATTAACTGAACAGTTACGTTATGTCTTCTAACAACATTTCTCACACTGTACTGCGATAAGTCTACCAAAGTTGCAATTTCTGAGTTTGATATCCCAGAATTAAAAAATTTAATTACCAGTAACCGAATTTTCTCACTAATAACCTTTCCTCTACTCATTTTGAAAACCTTAACTACCCAAAACTATTTTAAACGTATTCTGACAGCTGTTATTAATAAAAACAATTATCATGGCTTTTATTTTTCACAGCCACCTATGCGTTATAGACTTATTTTGCATTGAAATGAAAATAGGTTGATATGCTGTAATTGCAACATGTGTTATTTTTTTGCTGCAAATTTGATTAGGGAGTGATAAAGTTGGTGTTTTCTACTATATATTATCAAAATATTCATTGTTAATATTTTAAATCTATAACACCCTGCTACATTTTTATTATTATTTGTGTTTGTTAAGGAAAAAACTAAGATTTCAATAGTTGGGCCAACTGAAATGGGAAGGGGCTCGTACTTTTAAACAAATAACTGACTTTATTGGAAAAACAAAAGCTACAGATGAAGAGCAAGAATTTATAAAAATTTAAAGATAACTTAAAATAGATTTGCTTCAGTTAAAAATTTCCAATCAAAAACTAAATTTAAATTCCAATGCCTTACAATGAGAATTATTACTTTGTGTTAAGATACTATATGTTACTTTTTTTCAATGCAATAAAGATACTGTAGCAAAGTTTTAAAAAGCATCTAGTTTTTCCGTAGAATAAATATTTGGTAAAAAATACTTATAAATTGTTATCAAACTCGAGTTGATGCTTTATTTGTTCTACCAATCTGAGGACAGTGTTTTTTTGGAGCCGAAATCACCTGAAAAACGATAGGTCGTCCATCTCGTTAAAAAAATCTGTACGTTCATAATAGTGACTTGGAAATCCGAAGCGAATAATACCTAGGATGTCACCATCATCGCCAAGGGCAATCTCATCTTCGATCTCCATTACTTTTGCAAAAAAGCACTTTTTCTCAAAGACATCAACAACCCGGAATATGGTTAGAATCCCAATCCGTCAATTTTCGGATTAAACTGTCAATACGCTAGGATTACGCCTAAACGCGATTAGCAGATGTTAAATGTATCGGTGCATATGAAAACGCGGCAATAATCTGGATCAGTCATTAATCGTACATTTCAAGGGACGGTGAATATGAGCATTAGCATTAAAAAACCGTCAAACTGGTTTAAAAATGAGGCTGACCGCCCATATCAATGTGTTTTGTCGTCATACCATTTGTAAGCAGCAGCTGACCTCCCAAACTTTTAAACATAAAAAATGACTTCTACTATTTTACATCGAAAAGATAGTCGTATTGTATCGTCCTAGAATGTAAAAACGCATCGACAAAGATCCCAGGAATACTGTGGATCAGAGTGCCCAGGAAAAAAAATATACGCAACACTGCGTGTTACCTTATGTTCGGGACATATTTCCTATTTTACTGTGCAGATTTTGTTGAGGTCGTTTAAGTTGGCGGTGAGCTAGGTATCATCAGCGTACAATTCACTTGCAGATGTGTAAGAAGAAATGCGATATTAGATAAAATTATTCAAATGAGCTTAGTTTTGTCTGCCAGTTCGCATAGAAAATATTTTTTTGGATTCAGTAAATATGGGAAATTAGAAAGTTTCCGGTGATTGAAAGAAGTCACTGAGCGATGCTTAGAATCTAAAAGATAACACTACAGACTAAAGAGTCAGAGGATCTATCCCCGCATAAATGTCATTGAAAATATTGCTAAAGCTACATCGACTTATTATACTTTCAAAGCAAATAAAATAAGGCCAACCTTTCACAACACATAAGCCGGTAATTGAATAATGTAGTTCATTATTCAATTACACAAAATAAACTTTGTGTCGATGAATCCAGTTTCGAGGGCGAGGTGCAAAATACAATCGGTATAATCCTTACTGCAATGGGAATAGTAACAATGACAACAGGACTTTATTAATTATACGAATGGGCGAACATTAGATTGATCATTAAAATGAATAAGTCCCTCACAAAAGTACATGTTTATATGGATACTGAACAAAAATCACCTGATTGTTCAACTTGGGCACTGATTGATAGAGATTTTCATTGTTTCTTGATTATAAACGAATTTACATTAATTTCGATACTAAAAATAAGTTTAAAAGCCCTTAAATGATTGCATACTGTGTCGGAAACAGTCTGGATAGCTTGTATCAGATTATGAAGAAATATATTGAGCTAAGTAGGTCTGAGTGCTATGGCCTTGACTGATTACCTTTTCTTCAATACAAAGTCCAGCAGAATACTAGTATAAATGCAAACAAAAGACAATAATGCCCGTTATACAATATTTTTTAGGAATACCACAGATCTATTAGCACGCATTCCCTATACAGCAGATGTTCTGTTATAAACAAACCATTTACAGTATCGTGTATCAATGCATTTGTTTATATGTATTGTATACATATGAGGTTTCTTTTGAATTATCTTGGCACACTTCAACCGTTTGTATATCACATTTAAAACGGTAACGTTTGTTGAATTAACAGCTATTTCACACCATCATAATTAGTATGCATTTAAGAGCTCATCACAATCGCACTTTATGGTTCCCAAGACGATAAATTCATCTTGCGAATAACACTTACCTCTTGTTTTGAGGTCGGCCAGGCCTACTAGACGAGTCTTGTACAATTCACCATCAGACACGGCATATAAAACATTACACAGCAAAGCGAATTTCTATAGGAACGTTTAGGAGAATTTTTACAGTATTTTTACGATACTCGATACCATAGGTTCTGTTAGGGATCAGTTTGTCTGTATGAGGGCAAGTGAAGGTCACATCAAGGTCATATGAAGGGCACTTCCAAAGAAAGCCGAGCAATAGGCTAGTTGATACTGTTTTTAAGTATGTCTTAAATAATTAATATTCGCAATGTTAAACAAAAAAAGCTAATATCAACTATATTCTTTTAGACTTGAAAAAAAAACTTTAATTCAAAAATATACACTAAGTGACATATAAATCCGAACACCCAGATTAAATGGTTTTATTTTAATAAAATTTTGTATAAGTACTTAATGAAGCATAATAAGTGAATGATAAAAATTTCAAAATGATTGCACTGCTTTAAAGCCCTTTGACCTTTAATAATGTGTGGATGCACCCTGATGTGCTACGCATTCTCCAACGCGCCTAGGCATGCTTCTGATCAGGTGGTCAATGTCCTCCTGTGGTATCTCATTCCAGGCAACCACCAACTCCACTCGAAGTGCTTCTAGAGTCTGAGGAGGACGTTGCAAATTGAGCAATCTCCTACCCATCATATCCCACACGTGCTCAATTGGGGATAAGTCGGGAGATCTTGGTGGCCATGGTAACAATGTGACATCATTATGTTGAAAGAAGTATATTGTGACTCTTGCAACATGTGGTCGGGCATTATCTTGTTGGAAAGTTGGATCTGCCAGGGTGTCAAGATAGGGTAAAAGATGGGGTTCTAGAACTTCGTGGATATAACGCTGCGCGTTCATGTTACCTCTGATGAAGATTAAAGGTGACCTGGAACCATAAGCTATAGCACCCCAAACCATAACTCCAACAGTGTGATGAACATGTCTTTCAACAAAAAACTGTGGATTCCTCCTTTCACCACGTCGCCTTCTAACCCTGGCACAACCATCGTGCATGCCGGTATGAAAACAAGCCAAAACTTCTCATTCGTCGGTAAACACTTCGCATGCCAATAGGTCTTCCGTGTTCTGCAAGCCATTCATTTGCAATGGACCTGGTAGTGGAGAATCGGTCCCTTAAGGCCAATAATCTTAGGTAGCGACCTTCACGGTCTGTTGTTCTACGGCGGCGTCCAGTGCCCCTTGCTCTTTGCGTACGGCCTTCTCGAAGCCATGCCTGACAACACCTAACCACAGTGTCTACACTTCTTTGCACTCTAACTGCAATTGCCCGAAAAGAAAGTCCAGCTTCCCGAAGTCCCACTATACGGCCCCTACCAAACTCACTAAGTTGACGAAATCGTACAGGTCTCCGTACTCTAGGCATCGTAACCGATCGTAAAGGATGTCAAGAACCAAAATCCGCCAACGTTGATTCTTTACTGCGGCTGAAATATTCATTTTTAGAGCGTTAGTGAATTAAAAAAAAAGCAGTATAAAAACCGGAATGTCCAACTGATAAGGCTGAAAATTTTTTCACTTGTTATTTACAGTAAGATAAATACATTCACCAACTTTTATTAAAATAAAACCATTTAAACTGGGTGTTCGGATTTATATGTCACTTAGTATATTTCGCTTGGACAGGCGAAATGTATTCTGACGTCATACAATTGGAAACAGCAGGTTATAGCAGCATAATCACTCGAACATTTAAACGTATAAACATCGTTATAGTATCGTCGGGTGTTGCGTTGCTGTGTTGTGTTGTATACGCTGTGCTTTAGCTGTGTGCTACGTAGCATAGATCAACTTA